ATTCCTGCGCGGGGGCAGCTCCCTGGCCCCGGGCTGCTTGTGCTATTGGCTTCAGCACAATGCCCTGCCCTTTTCTCCCCACCTATTTGCCTTGGCCACTTGTCAGGGCTTGCAAACCTCCTCCTGATATGCACTGAAGCCTCCCGTCGCCCTGCGGAGGGGGCACCTTCTCTCTTCCTCACGCAGCGATCACAAAAAACACCGCATTTTTTTTAGGCGCTGGCATTTTCCATCTCCAGACCTGCGAGAGGATTTGACTCTGAGAAAGCCGAGCTCCGAGGAAAGGGAAGAAAGGCAAGAGGGAGAGAAGGGGAATCATCGCCACCTGCGCTCATGCAGCACTTCTCAGGGCCTCAGCATTAATGGTCCTGCCTTCACCCCGCTCCTCGTAAACCAGACAGCCGGGCCAAGATGCTACCACTGCCATGCTGACACTCCCTGGCGCCCGCTTCCCCGCCCTGACCCACACCCAGCGAGGTCTCCATCAGGGTTGAGCAGCTGCTCATCGTGCCCCCGAGATCTGAAAGGCCCCGTGTGACGCCTCGCATCCCCGCCACGCTCCTCCTGGCTCCACGGGTTCATCCGCAGCTTTTACAAAAACGGGGGAACTGCGGCACAGTGCAGCAAAGTGACTTGAACAAGTCCACACAGCGAGTCAGTGGCGGAGCAGAGAAAAGCACCCCAGATGCTGTGCGCAGGCACAGGCAACCTTGCACAGGCCTGAAGGAGGGAAGCAGCCCCACATTGCCATGGGGGAACATGGTCCTGGCCCGGGGGAACGTGGCCGCCCTGCACCGGATGGGCACAGGGACCTGAACACCGCCTGCTTCAGGAAAGGATTAAGCCATATTTACAGCAAAATCAGCGCTGCACACGGCGGCCTGAAACAGCGCAGGAGCAATTAGCAGCTAACGAGTCTGCACGGATAGCTGATAACCGCTGGACATTTAGTGCTCACTCTGTTTTTAATTGCGGCTTTGCAGCCAACAAAAAGGCCTTGATCAGCAACATTAATTGCTGGTCATTTATTACCGCGGCAGTGCTCGCTTGCAGAGCGCCAGTGCGGGCGCCACCTCTGTGCGAGGAGGCTCCCATCGGCCTGGGCTGTGCGCCCATGGGGGCAAACGCAGCACGAACCCCCCGAGCGATCCAGCTTGGACACCAGAGAGCAAACTCTCCCCTGCCCCGTGGACGGGTCACGGGGACTTTCATTTGGCTCCAGCTCCATGAGCAGAGAGGGTCCTGCGTGTCTGCGGTGCTGGGCAGACGTGTCCCAGGCTAGCGCCATGCGGTATCAGCGCGGGTTACTCTGCGCAGAAAGGCACCAGCACGCCCTCCGTGCCCCAAACACGGCACGGCTCTGCAAGCGCCCCTCGGGGAAATGCAAACAGCCGCCCAAGCCACGAGGCAAAATGGAGTCAACGAAGCTGTCCCTGCTGCGGGCCGGGGAGGAGGGAAACAAGAGACTGCCGTTGAGCACAAGCGAGAGCTCAGCTACTGCCCTGGCGGGGCACGAGAGGTTACAGAGAGGAGCGATAACAGGGACACAGACCATCCCCGCTCCCCTCCTCTTGCCCCGGATGTCCATGGGGGCTTCCCTCTCAGCCCGTCTCTGGGGCCGCACACTAAACCACCCCCCAGCTCCATTTCACAGAGGAACTAGATCCACACGCACCCTGGCAGAGCCGCATGGGGAATGAGAGATGTCATCTGGATCGACTCCGACGAGGCTCCAGGAGCTGCCAAGGAAGGGAGGGTGCTGGAAGCAGCCATCGCCCTGCCGGACAACGGGCGGGCATTGGGGATCTCCACCCTGGCCCGAAGCAGCCCCCAGGCTCTGCCCCGCCAGCAGCCAGACTAGAGGCCTAGGACTTGTGGGGTCACAGATGAAGCCCCCTCCAGCCCAAGCGGCCTGCCCTCCTCTGGGCAAGGAGTCAGAGCCACAAGCTCCGTGAGGTCCTGGCAAGGGGCTGCCCCCTCGGGCAATGGTGCGAGGCTTCAACCCCTGCTCCCAGGCAGCTCCCAGCGTCTCTGGACCCGTCGTGGTGGGGAGCATGCACTTGGCTCTGCCAGGTGCCCGCGGCCTCCCGGCACAGGACACACATGATCTCGCTCCTCTGCCGGCTGGCCGCGTCTCCTTCCTCCATCAGCTGCTCACAAGGCCCCGCCAGGCAGCGCTGGCACGCGCCGAGCGGGGCGTTCTCTCCCCTCCATTCTCCTTCCTCCTCTGCTGATGCTTGCCCATCTTCTCTGCAAAGGCTCCCATGCTCCAATAACTCCTGCTTCTCTGACAACTCTCTGAAGCCCATGCTAAATGCCGATGGCAGATGACAGGCAGCGGAAGCAGCAGCTCCACTTAGGGGGAGATTTATCAAGTCTGTTCGCTTCCCCCGCGGAGAGGCTCTGGGGGCGACGCAGCGACGCAGACGCCCGGGTGGGAACGCGCTCCCCTGCTTCCTGAGCTCCCGGGGCCTGGCCCCCAGCAAACTGCAGAGCTCCCTCTGTCCTTTCCTCGCTCCCGCTCTCTCCTCTCCCACACGCACGCCGAGTCCCCGCTGACGGGGCTGGTGCCTCCCTTTGTGCCGGTACGGCAATGCTGGCTGGCAGTGGGGCGCTAAGATATCGGTATACCAGTGCAAGCCCTGTGCAGCTGTGGTGATAGCTGTTGCCGGCCATGCTTGCTTGGCCTGGGGCTCCAGCACACGGACAGGCCTCTGGGCTAGCAAGCCATTTCAGTGTGGACGAGGCCCTGGCCAGCGATCACAAGTACAGCATGCCCACGCTGCGACACACAGCGGCTCTTCCTCTCAGGTGTGGCGTTCTGCCTGGTGCCACCACTGACCACAAGCCTTTTACACGCGGCATGGGGACAGTGACGGCAAGGACTCCCCTGCATGGGACAGAGAGAGCTGGTCTGCACAGCTTGCACCTTGGGGGCACCAGCAACCCGGCCGGCTCCTGCCCAGCTGTCCCAGCGCTCCCTGTTCTGAAAGGGCGCTTGCCAGACACTGCATGTGCTCCAAGACAGCCTCAGTCAGCAACACCTTCCCTCGCCAAAGACAGGATTTGTGGGCCCCCGGGACGGCTCTTCTATGACAGCCCAGTTATAATGGGGTGCTTGAGGATGGCCCTGAGCTACAACGTGCACGCCCGGGTGTGAATTTCCAGCACCCCGGAACGTGACGCAGGGGCACCCCTCAGGCCTCCTGCCAACGGCAACGCGCAGCTGGCCCGGGGCTCTTACCTTGGCCTTCCCGGTGCTCTGCAGGATGTGAACCAAGGCCGAAGCCATCTCCTCTTTGTTCTTCACGCTCAGCGCAGGCTCCAGCACAGAGCACAGCACCATGTAGTTGTTGGTGATGTACTCGGCGAACTCCTTGTACATCTCCATGGGGAGGATGCTCATGGTCTGGTAACGGGACTTGATGCGGATCATGGGCCCTGCAGACTTGCCTTTGCTGGGGTTGGGGCTGACCACGGGGTACCATTTCTCCACAAACTGCCGGCCCGTGACAGAGCCCACGGGGATGTTCACCTGCCCGATGAAGTTGGTCTTGTCTTTCTTCTTCTTCTTGTCGGTCTCTTTGTACAAGTGCACGGTAATGTTCTTGAGCGATGGGAGGTTATTAAATTCAAAGTGCTCCCCCCAAAAGACATTGTCAGTTTTCAATTTACAGGTAGTTCGTGCGTAAAGAACGTCATCCAGGCATAATTCACACAAGTACTTTTTCTTGGCTGGCAGGTCCTTGGCTTCAATAATCCATAACTTTAACATATTCTCTACCCTTCTGCTGTTGTCCTGGAAAAGACACATACAGAAAAAAGGTCAAGTGAAAAAGAAAACAGCAAAGACATAAACAACAAAAGCTGAGAAACGAGCTAATTATTTCCGATGTGCTAAACAAGCAGAGGCTTAATTACATTTTATTTTAAGGAAATACTAGCTCTTTGGAATTTGCATAATAATGCTGCTTATGTTAATTTTGCAAATATCACAGTGCTCTCCATGTCTACCGGTGCCAATTAATATAAGGAACAAGGTAGATAAAACCCCTCCAAATTAAAAATGCACCACTGCCAACTCTACTGCCAGGGGGCTCGCAACGAGAAAAACCAAAAGCCCAGGAAGGAGCCTTATCAATAATTAAAGCCTCTTGCAAAACAGACGCTGTATTACAGGTGTTTCCTCCCTTCTGCTCTGCCATTGTCCTGTACTGCCACTACGTTTCCTCCTCCGCGGGAGCGACAGAGGAACCCTAAAGTGCATGCAAGGGTCACTTTACTCCTGGGTGGAAAATCACCACCTCTGGGGTGGAAACGAGCAGCTGCTGCAGCTCCGTTCACTATTTTAGGATAAGAGTAGAGTGTCTGACTGAAACAGCTGGGGGAACTGAGACAGAACAAGCTGCACGGGAACCCAGCATCGCTGTTCTTATTCAGATGGAGAAATTTGGCCAGGACCAGCTTAACCCCATTATAGTGAAAGATGATATGGATCTTTAATGATCCTGTTTCTAAGCCTCATCCAAAGGAGGGAGCTCTACAAGAAGCAGTTCTTGGACTTGTTAGACTCGAGGCACCCCTCCTCAGGTTCAAGGCACCCCTCAAACCCCCTCCGCGACTTCTGCAAATTGAGCAGCACCCCATTTGTTACAGCGCTTACCTCCATGCAGAAGGGCTGGGCAGTGGGCGTGAGGGAATGGCCCGGTAGGGAGAGCCTGAGCCTGCCCCGTTACCCTGGTTGAGAGGCACTGCTTTATGGTTTCAGTGCCAAAGGGCAGAGCTCCGCTACCGAGTCTGTACCGCCCCGTGTTTTACTTAGAGGTCTCCCGTTACAGCAGCAACTTGGCTTGACCCCGCTCAGCGTCAGGGCACGGACAAGAGCGCACAGTGGCCGGAAGCTCACAGAGGGGTGTGCGGGTTCGGGCAGGAACTTACACAACAGCCCCAAAGTCCAGGACAAAAATATCAAATCAGATATGGAGAGTTCGCGTCAGCGAACGCGGCATCAGCGAACAAAAGGAGGAAAGCCTGCAGAGTCAGCAGCAGCGGCAGCCGAGATGGGGGCACGTTTCCAAACGCAAGCTGGCGTAGCAGAGGTGCAGAGTTCCTCCCTGCCTAGTTGCTGCTCTAGCAACACCAGTGGGAAATGCAGTCACCCCCATCTTTAAATCTCTTTGCAGGCTGCTAGTTTTGCTCTCGAAGCCAGGGCACCTGTGGGGCTGCTCTACAGGTATTGAAGCAATTTGAAAGGCAGATGTCGGCGCCTCCGCTTGGTCTGGTCGCTGACCGCGAGGGCTGTGTGAGCAGCATCCCAGGGCCCCGGCCTTACGTGGCGGTGTCTGTGCCCACGGCTACATGCCCCCATGAACAGGAGGGAAAGCACCCGGCCCGTTCGTGTGTCTGATATGTCTGCTCAACAGAACCCGGCTTGATGATGAAGCCACGGCAGTGGCAAAACCTTGCGCTTGATCAGCTTTGTCCACAACCTTGTTTAGCAGGAAAGAGGCAGTGGTGGACTTGATTTGAGGATGACTTTACCCTCAGTGGGAGCTGAGGATGCGTTTCAGGCATCCCAGTGTCAGCTAAAAGAGAGGATCTTGCTGCTGCTGCTGCCTGAAGTTCAGATACCGGCAGGAAGTGTTTGGCCTCCGAGCCTGCCCGCTGGAACGGACCATGCACTAAGCCCATGTTCCTCTGCAAACTCGGAGCACACACGAAGACTCTGCAACTCTGGTTCTGCATCTTGACAACCAGCATTGCAAACCCCAGCAGTGCCAGGAGAGGGGGCTGTGAGGATTAATTAGTTAGGGCAGTATTCTGTCCTGCAGCTCTGGCGACAGCCACCCCTGACAGCACCCTTGGTCCCACACGCTCCGAGCGTGGAAATCACTACACAAAAGGCAAGCACCATTAGCAGTGTCATCGGTGGTAGGACGAGCACAAAGGTTCTCGAGGTTTGATTGCTGTTCAGTGACCGACCAGGAGGCACGTACGGATGGTGGGGGGGGGAGGGCAAGAAATAATTGGCACTTTCCCGTAAATATAATTGGGGAAGAAAGTAATGCAGAGAAAAGCTGACCCACGATGACACTTCGTCACTAAAATGACAATGCGTCCCCTGCTGCTTCTATGCACTGGGTTATAAAATGTAATAACGAGGAGCAAACCCATTACAGAGGCATTCCTCAAAGCTGCTACCTTATTGGGGTGCACAGCACGCCGCAGGTTCTCCATCCATTTATCTCGCTCTGCGGCAGAACGACAGGAGAAGCACTTGCTTCCTGATGAAGTCGTCACCTGCGTGGAAAGGAACAGGGTTATTTCTTGCCTGATGCATTAGGGACCTTGCTTCGGGCCTGCGTTTTGAAAGCAAACAAAAAAAGGAGGTTTTTCCAAGCGCCAGGGAGCAGCCTCAAAGGCTGGTGGGCAAGCGGGGCAGCTCTGAGCAGCTCAAGGGGTTGATGATAGACGTTAACTGCACCATCCTCCCCGCTTCTAACTCTGTGGCAGCCGGGGGAGATGCCACAGGAGTGACTGGAGCTTTCCCAGTGACCGACAATCCCTCTGCATCTGACATCCCTTAGGCCACCCAGTTTTGCAACCACTGAGTGAGAGAACAGCCCCGAGGCAGGTCCCTGGAGAGATGGATCAGCATCAGTGTCGACGACCAGCATCCCCCTGGGTTCAGCCCATCATCTGCCATTAGAAGAATTCCTCACCTGTCCCTGCCCAGGGCATCCTGGCCTTGAATTATTCCTCCTCCCCACCCTCCCTCTCCGCTGGATGGGCTACCAATGCGGGTCCCAATGAGGCCCAGAAGGATGGTCTAGAGCAGCGGTTCTCAACCTTTTGGGCTCGAGGCACCCCTGTTGGACTCAAGACCCCCTCCACCATTCCTGGGAATTGAGCAGCTTCCCATTTCAAAACCTGGCTGATTTTGAAGGAGGGCAATGAAAATGTTTGGGGGCTGGGGACAGGACTGGTGAGGAGAGACTGGGGGACCTGGGCTGATTGAGTCTGCAGAAGAGAAGACGGAGGGGGATTGAATAGCAGCCTTCACCTCCCTGCAGGGGGGCTGCAAAGAGGATGGAGCTGGGCTGGTCTCAGTGGGGGAAGCAGGACAAGGAGCAATGGGCTCACGTTGCAGCAAGGGAAGCTGAGGTTGGATATTAAGAAAAACTCTCTCATGAGGAGGGTGGTGAAGCACTGGGACCGGCAACTCTGCGAGGTGGTGGAGTCTCCGTCCTTGGAGGTGTTTAAGACCCAGGTAGACAAAGCCTTGTCTGGATGATGTAGTTGGGGCTGGTCCTGCTTGGAGCAGGGGGTTGGGCTGGATGTGACCTCCCAAGGTCCCTTCCCACCCTCATGCTCTATGCGTCTATGATGCATTACTGTGCTTAACTCCTTGCAGTGGGGCTGGGCAGTGGGAGCAAGGAAACAGCCAGGTAGGGACAAGTCTGAGCCTGTACTTACCTGCTTATCTCCTCACCCCTCGTATCACCCTTCAAAGGATCTCGTGGCACCCCTGGTTGCTCCAACCCCTGGTTGAGAATCACTGCTCTAGAGGAGCAAGGGGCAGGGACAGAGGTAGCATGCCCAGCCCAGGGCTGAAAGCAGAGGGGCTGTGCCCAGAAGTGCGATGCATGGCCCGTCTCCAGGAGGGGCTCCTGCCTCTGCTGTCCTGCTTATGTCCCCAGCTTGGATCTCCTGCAGGTGCCAGGTAAAGGTATCTCCAAGCTTTCATGCGCCTCCTCCTTCACCCAACCCTCCTGCAGCAATTGCACCACGTAAGAAACAGTCTAATAAAGAGTTACACAGCTTCATCTGGCCCTCAAGGCCTTAAGATATTGTAATTGAGAACTAGAGTAATTTCCACTGTGGTCCAGGAGCTCGGGCAGTTTTTCCATCCCTTGCTCCCAGCCGATGGACATCCAAGCCTTGTGGGAACTCATCTTTGCAGGCAGAGATGCGAAGGACACTACCACGCTTTGCACTAATTACCACACTTTGCATGAATGACTGCGCTGGGTCCATGAGGGCCAGTCATGCACCTAGGCAGCCTCTGCCCAGCAAGCTGCAGCTCTAAAATAGCAAACGCCAATGCAATATGCATGGTCCAGCTCTCACCTTCAAACCCTGCTGGCAAATCAGCTGGCTAGGACTGTGGTCTTAGGGGTTCCAGATGGCCGATAAAAACATCGCGTAGCTGCCCTGACCTTCTTTGCATCTCTCCAAATCCAGCCATGCTCTTCCTGAACATCCTCGTTTGCAGGCCAAGGGTCCCGCGCTTCGCCACGTCCAGTAACTCCCCTCTTCCCGCTGCTCCCTCCATTGTCACGCTGCAGGATTCCTCACCCTTCCTCCTCCCCGCCTTGCCACGTTTGCTATCCTAAGCAGCTTCCTGGGTCAGCTGCATCGGGGAGACATGAGCTGCCCTGGCTTTGCACATCCTCCAGGAGGCTCAGTTTGCTCCTCAATCTGCAGTCGGCATCAGGCCAAGACTCTGCCCCAGCCCAGCTCATGACCGGAGGTCCCAGGTGCCGTCCGGGTGGAACAAAAGCGAAGAGAAGAAGCTGGCGTGCCTTCACCAGAAGGATGCAGCAGCTCTTGATATTCCAGTTGGTTTCTGGGGCATCCACTTCGCAGCCGCTGGACCAGAACCAACGCTTTCCCTCATGCTGCCACTCATTCATACTGCACAGCGTCAGTCTAAAGAGCCCTCTGGCACGGCTGTCTTCTGCTGCCGAAAAGGGGCCTCCAATATGCACAGGCTTTGTTGCATTGCCCTGCCCTGCTTTCTCACCAGGATGCACCCACGCTTCCCAAAGCTGGTGCTCCTCAGCATCCTCCTGCAACAAACCTGGTCCGCTTCAGCCTCCAGTTGCCTCAGCACAGGCTAACCCCAGTGTCCAGCCCTTCGGGGGCCCTGAGCAGTCTTGGCCCTGTGCAATCACGTTCCTGTTGCCCAAGGCGGAGGCAGAGGCAGCTTTGCTGGGTCTGTTGGGATCGCTCCCAGAAAAGTCCCAGAGGCTGCGTTCTGGGCCGGTGTAAGGCCCACGCGTGGCCTGATGGGGACTGCAGAGCTGCACCACGTTCTCACGGAGAAGTCACGACAACCGCTGAGTTACAAGCGCACGGACTGCAGGACCACCCATTAATTACACAGTTACTTAACAAGAGGGTTTAGACTTAAATAACAGGGAAGAACTAGCAATCAAGCGTCCCTGCCGATTGCTCGGTAATTGCTGGAGAGCGGGGCATAGCTACGAGTTTGGACAGGGCTTCAGGGACCTCTTCTCGTTCTACCCCTTTAATTAGACTTTGGGAAATCCAAAGTGACTGCCAGGAAATGCAGCCCATACACCAACGGAGAGGACCAGGCACTACCGATACAACCACGTCACTGCATGGCACTTGCCGGGGCCAATGCTGCAGCCTTTGAGGAAGCAAAACTCCCCCGACGTTCCTGGGAATTCTGATTAAAGGCTGGATTTGCACCCGTGCAAATGAGGAAAATTTAGTCCTCATCCTATCTTGTCTGTTAATTAGGGGCCAATCGTTTACCAGCTGCTTAACAGGATGTATATCCACTGTATTTTATGGCCACATAGAAATACACGTTGGCATTGATTTAACATGTAACAAATACCTTATTCAATTGCAAGTCAATGCCATGCTGGCTAAGTAGTCAAAGGGCAATTAAAAAAATAAATGCTAGCCTTTCCTCTTGGAGTGATCACACTTACCTGGGGGATTCTTCAGTGTCAAGACCAAGGCCTGCAGCCCTATTTGGAGTTGAAGGTCGTGCCTCCCACGTCTGACTGCAAATATAATTTTCCCTAGATCTGCCATAATGCCTGGGCTCGGACCCGAGACCTAAATATCACGTGGCATTAACGATCTTCAGGGGCTATTCATTATTTGCACATAGAGCATTCTGTCCATCTCAAGACTCGCAGAGTTGGTTAAAATGATATTAATTTACACGGCCAAACTGAATTAATATAACTGATTTGTATTCATTATTCCCATCCCTTGTATGGGCGGCTCCTCGAGTTAGACGAAAGGATTTGGTGGATTTTGTTCGCACCTGAAAAACAACACTGGGTTTCTTAAAGCACATCTGGAATGCAGTAACCTGGCTGTAACGACAGTTCATAGCTCTGCAGTTAATTTGGCCGTTTCCAGGGGGTGGGTATTATCATGCCCATATCACAGACGGACAAGCCAAGGCACGCCAAAGTGAAGTGACTTGAATCCTAACCCGACTGTCCAGCTCCTGGTTGTGGCTGGCGTGCGGGGACCCTGGATGGCCACGAAAGGGGCTGGGGAAGGACTGACCCTGCAGCATGTGCTGCCTCCTTAGCAGATCACGCTGGCTGGGAAACGGTTCCTCCGTTAGCTGAGGAGGAGGAAGCAGTTCTTCAACAAGTGATTTGAAAAATCTGACCGCAAACAAAGGCTCCGCACGGCTGGCGGCACGAAGAGGAAAGTCTGCTGCACTAAATCAATGAAAAGAAGAGCCAGGTTCAGACGCAGACAAAGCAGGTGCGTTTCCGCTCATTCCAGTGCACTGGCATCGACTTACCCCCAGCCCAAGCCCGGCCCTCCTGAAGGCGCCGATAACTAGGCAATCAGCTGCCGAATGTCTTAACAAGCAAGAGTTCGGCTCACCGGGAGAAAAAATGCCCTGTGCCTTTAAACAGCCAGCTGCTTCCCATGGAGTCTGCTGGGTTTTTTCCACTGCAGATGGCCCTGGCACCTCTCGCTTGGCTTGGCTCCGCTGCCCGGTCTGTTCCCATCCTCGAGTCTCCAGCGTGACTCCATCTGCAGCTGCGGCGAGCCCTGCTGTTCTGCTCTTCGGAGCCGCGCGGTTGCTGCCTCCGTGGCTCAGCATCGGGGGGCTGCCGCGTGCGGCGTCCCAGGTCGCACGCGCCAGGCAGGCAGGAGCGCTATCAGCTTCTGGAGGAGCAGCCATCCACAGCGGCAGACGAGAAGCCCCAAGCGGGAACACTCTCAGCCCTTCGGGCCATTTCAGCCACCACCGCTCCCGGGAGGCTGCTAACGGGGCCGGGCCAGCCGGTGACGGGGGCTGCGTGCGGGACCCTGCCCGCTCCCCGCATGCAGCAGTGAGAGGGGAGGATGATGAAGAGGAACAATCCAGGCAGGGAAGCCCTGGCTTCATCTCCCAAGGCAGCATCTGGCTTCTCAGTCCAGGTGAACAAAACTGTCCGGCCCCAGAGACCCTCTCCCTCCCCTCCTCACAGCCAAGCCTTATCCACTTGCAGCGCCTCCAACACCCAGTGGACAAGACCACCGTGGTTCCCCCTGTCTGGGTGTTTTTGGCAGCCCCTTCTCACCTGCCATCGTTCACACTGAGCTTGTGCCATGGGTCCGTATGCCCCAAAGTGCCACGTCTCTCAATTGCTCTCCACCGCCAGCGCTCTTGTCCAACGGCGCCTCGGCAGCGTGGGCTGCCCTGTGCTGAGCTCTCACCAAGCGAAGCCGACAGGCCACATGCAGGGACTCTGTCTTTCCCACGACTGAACCCCGATATATATGTGTGCCTGAATAACAAATAACCAGACCCAACACTAAGAGGCCAGAGCGGTGGACACTCGTGTACATGATTACTTCCTGGTTTCCACTCCAGCAGCAAGACGGATGCTTGCAACTAAATGCATGCTGCTGTTCTCTAACTGCGTGCGGGACTTCAGGGGTGGACTCTGCCGTGCGTCTCTGCCACGAGTCTGCTCCCACGTCTCCAAGCCTCACTCGCTGCTCTTCCTCATCTGCCCTGCGCTGTCCCAGCTCCTCCTAAGCCTTTGTCTCTGCCGGTCACGTGGAATTAGGTGGCAGGTTTGGGATGCGGACGGCATCCGTTAGGGATTAGACTGAGACCTGCACGCTCGCTTTGCTTGTGACCTGACGCAGGGCTTGAACGGGGATTTCAAGAGATGCGGGAGCGGTGCATTAACACATCCTGCCACGAGCTGTCATCTTAAGTGCTTCCCTCTGGAACATGGCTGACGATCGGTGATAGTCGGATGTCTGCTGCGTTTCCTGACACCGTTTCTTCCCACCGCAGGATCCTCAGAACAGCAATTAACATGCTCTTTTCTTCCCGTGTGCCTCTTCTTTATCAGACTCACTTAAAAATAAAGCACTCTTTCTCCTCACAAGTGCATGATTTGTGTAATTCCCCTCTCCGTCGACTTTCCACAAGTACCGCTCGCATCCCTTGCTCTGCTCTTGCATGCCGAGCCGAATTGGTAAACAACTCTTATATTATGGACGTCACATCTATTTTCCATCTAACTTCATTTTATCTTTCTTGAGTGGGATGTAATAGAGGCTGCCTAATGTACAAACCGCTGCTCCTCCTGACCTGCTGCACTTGCTCAACTCCAGGGCGAGCAAAAGGCACGGGAAGATGTCTTCTACCGACTTAGGGACTACGGTGGCAGCTCCGCTTGTTGTCAAAACATTTCCCGTGTCCCCTGCTCACGTTTTAAGAAATACCTTTTATTCATTTCAATCTGCTGCTAATTTGGACAATGCAGGAGTCGTCGGCCAATTTCTGCTGCCTGATTCTTCGCTAATTGACAGACACGAGGCTGTTTTCTTGCAATGTAAACTGTCACGGGAGCGTACCTGTTCCTGTCACTGCCTGCTCAGGCATGACCTGATGCCTGCCGTGGTTTTGCCTTCCACCCCTAAACAGAAATAGGGTTCCTGTCCTTCACAGCGGCAGGGATGATCACCTGTGGCTGTGAAGAGGCGGCTTCCCAGTTCCCTAGACAGGCACAGTGCTACGTGATATAGCACGTTGCTTTTTCCAGTGCGAGACAGCCGAGTCCTATATAACAACATGCTGCATAATCATCTGTTGTGCGGGGCTTTGCAGGCACACTGCTCTCTGCAAGAGTCCTGCTCAGGCGTTATGCTGGCCCCTGAGAGAGGCAGCAGAGGAGGAGGCTGCAAATCTTGAAAGACCAAAGCTCACAGAGACTTTCCTTTCATTCAAGCCACAGAAACCGGAGGTTTTTGGATGACAAGGTCCTGATTTCCGTTCATACAGCCAGGGAGGTATGATTTCCATGTGACCACAACACAGAAACGTAGGATGTCAACATGGCAAGCAGCAGATCAAGTATCTGTTGATGCTCTGTCAGTGCTTGGGACCCACTGCCCATGAGGGCATGCTCTGCTGCTACTAGGACGTCGGGGCCCCAGCTCTCGTTTGGTTGGCATACCCTTATATGATACAGTATAAAAACCAAATCAAACAGCAGAACCCCCTGCGAACAGCAATTCCCACCACAGTATTTCCTGGGCAGGACACGTACCCGCGCCCTGCTCATCACATTGCTATGCCCCGATGCTGTCAGGAGCAGACTCCGGAGTGAATGCAAGAGCTTCTTACCTCAAAGCAATAGTCCTGTCCCAAAATGCTACTGTGGACTGGTTTGATGACCACCTCCTCCTCCATGCTGAGATCCAGAGCCTCGACAGCACTACTGGGACTGAGCAGAGACTCGTGGGAGCGCGATTCTTTCAGTCTCGGCATTAGATGGGATCTAGAGGAAGAACACGAAGACGTCAGTGGATACTCTCAGGTCCCTCCCAGGTGCACCGTTTCTGCAAATTACGGGCACGAAAGCAAATGGAAGGTCGTTCCCGTACGTGTGAACTGCAGTACGGTCCTGTCTGCACCTTAGCAAAGAGGCTGGACTATAAAGGGGGCTGCACTAAAAATGCCGAGTGCAGCCTGCAGTCGGGTACATCTCCAAACGTGCACGCAACAGGTGTCCTTGCAAAGGACGCTGTGTCTTTTTGCAGGGATTGAACACTGTAGCTCTACCTCCTCGCACTGCGGTCATGATAGTTAAACAGGGTTGGGTCTCGTTCATGGATGGGAAGTGCTCCTAGCTTCAGCTTATGGTATTGCCACCGAAAGGAGAGAGTTTACATGAATGCTGAGGGGGGGGGGGGGGAAATGAATGGGCCTGTTTTCTGTTGGACTTTATATCCCAGTTGAGCCTCCCAGTCTGGACACAGAGCTGAGGATGGCAAGCTGCAGGGAAATGCCAGCACACGTGGCGCACCACGCACCGTGCCACTGAGGTGCTGTACGTTGTGCGAGCGCCATCGGCCCCACGTTTGTGTCATGGGGGAGCCACGGCTGGACGAGTGCGCTGGGACTGTAATTACTCTGTGAGCTGGAGCACTCGCCCCATCTATTATGGACACAGCGCTGAGAAGGGGAGAGCAGGGAGACAAGGACCATGATAACTCTATTGATTCATCTAAATGCCCTGGAAGCCCACCCACAGCACTTAGCAGCAGGGGAGCCTGCAGACAACGAGGAGTACACCGTTTTCATGCAAGGCGATGGCGCGGGGAGTGTTAAGGGAAGTCAGGAGGCACGGGGATACAGGCAGCCCAGCACCAGCCAGGAAAACAAAACTCAAATACCAAAGGGCAGGGGGAAAAACTGAGAGCGAGAGAAACCGTCCCTTTATCAATAGTCTGCACAGCACCGAACGCGGCTGGTGACACCGGATCTCAACCGCTGCGACTCCAGTAACTCTGACCTTTCAAACCCCTGGCAAGAGGCTCCGAGCTCCTCAGAGAGGCCGTGCGTCTGTCTGGACAGGGCGGCATTTAATCTGCTTCCAAGGAGCACGCGGCAAACCGCAGCCTGCGCCGCGAGCGCTGCCTCGCACGCACACGGCAGCGAAGTTCACAGCACGTCGCGTCCGACTGCTGCCTGCGACTGCACTGAGTTTCCTCGTCCTCGGGAACAAAGCTGACCAAAAACACGCTGAGAAATGTCAGCGCGGCATGAAAAATTCATAGCTCCCAGTCAGTCAGATGCCAAGCGGAGCCTCAAAAAACAGCCAACAGCGGAGCCTGACATAAACAGGTGCTTTTTGAACTCAACCATAAGGGTCCGTGGCATCAATGGGCCCCAAGGTAATAAAGGTTCAGACTCCAGCTGGTTCATCCACTTGAAAGGGCCGGATCGGCAGCCCCGCAGCTGGGAGCCTCTGGTTCTCTGCAGAAGGGGCGCAGCGCAGACCGGCACCGGGCAGCACTACCTAAGGGTTAAAGCCAAACTCAGCCGGCAGGGCCGACGCAATGCTTTGTGCTTGCTGTTGGGGCTGACAGCCGGTGCCGATTGTGGCGGTATCTGTTAACGCGTCTGCTTGAGAGCCAGGCTAAAGCACCAGCCTCATTTCGTACAGGACAACTAGCAGAAGTCGAAAACCTCCGGTTAATACTGACCCGTACGGGATTAGAACCAGAGCCTGGGAAGCAAAAGGCTCTCCAGCCCATTAGCAAGTCTTCGAGCTGTCCACTCGCCCCGAAGTGCCGGCGCGAAAGAAATCGATCTTCAAGAGCCGAGCACTATCCCGCTGTCATTTCCCCCGTACTTTGTGGCAATTTAATACTATTTTCAGAGAAAAGGAGCCCGCATCCTTATTCCCTAAATGAGACTGCGGAGCGGCTCTGATGGGGGTAGATAGAGCTAGTTAACCCTGGGTGCTACACAGCCCGGCGAGATGCGTCTGGCAGGTGCGGAGCTGACAGCAGAAACCAGTCACTGGGCACTACTGAATTCACATGCAGGACTTTTACATGAAGTCTTAATTTTTATAATATAGGGAATTTTAACCGATTTGTACTGGTGTTTGTGTGTGTGTGCACCCATGTGTAAGAAGTACTAATAACACGAACCTTGCATGCAGCAAGCATCCCGTGATATATATATACACACACCACCGAGGCAGGACTCTGTTTTGTCGGTCTTAAAATCAAGCAAAAATGACGAGATAAAAGGAGACGATTTCCTGCGTAGATGGTCCAGGTGCAGACGAGAGTGTGGGAATGCACATGTCCGGGGGCAACCTGGCAGGGAGAACTAACTCTTCATGCCACGGCATTAACTAACGCTGGTGTGTGTCCGAACGCAGTTTAAAACCGCCACGCTATAAAGGCAACCAAAATATGTCCTTACCCAGTCCAACAGAATGCATTTCAGCCTGGGCATCCAGAAATTTGGGGTTTTACTGAGATGGGAATTTATCCCAACACTTCAAACTGCTGGGGTACTGGATTACTCGGGGAACCAGGTCCTAAGCCATTCCGGCATTATAAAGCCCTCCGCGCATAGGTAGCGGGTCAAATCCAGCTGGTTGTGCGGGGTGTGGAACGAGTCCAGTGGGCCTCAGCCCAGCATCCACCAGACAAAAGCTACGGATAAAGATGTCATTAATCAGCATCGTGCATTCACAATCTCAGAGATGATGAGAAAAACACCACCAGTAAAGGCAGCCCCTCGCAGTCACACCAGGCGTGAGTGTTGACTACGTGGCCTCTTCTGACACAGGTCACCAACTTGTGAACTCTCTAGATAAGTATCCTAGTCTGTGAAAGTGTGCGGCCACCCCACTGTCTGGTGCTTCACCAGCACCAGCATCACCTGTGCCTTGTGTGAAGGCCATGAACTCCCCGGGGCGATGCATCAATCCAGCGACAGCTGGCAGCGCCCAAAGTGCCGGCTATGGGGAACGACCCGCTGTGGAGCGCGTGGGTCTGTGCTGGATGTCACGAGGTTGCAAGGAGCATGGCTCCTGTTCACATTCATGCCCAGCCCCAGGAGAGGAGAACTGTCTCGTGTCCTTTAACTGGCAGCTCCACGTCTGCTGCAGGGACCGGCTTACTGGAAGACGCTGCTCAGCCCTGTCTCGGTTCCCGCAGACTCCCCTTTTGTATTCACAGGCATCAGAAATTCCTGCTAATGCTGTGATCTGCTTGAGTGACTCATATGGCAAGGGCCTTATTATTCTTACTGAAATGATAACTCAGCCTTCCTGGCCATTTGGGGAGACAGAATAAAAGCCAGCGACGTGCGCGTTACAGAGGAGGCAGCCGAGAGCACCAGTACTCCTAGATCCAGCTCTCAAGAGCATAAAGGAGCTGGCCTGAACCCGCTCTGACGGACAGGGGCAAGGGCAGCTTGAGAGCAGAAGGAGATACGTGAACAGAGTCCGGGCTGGTGCAGAGCGAAGGCCCCGCTAACATGGGGTATTGGCACACCCTTCCTCCACCAAGCGCTGTGGCAGGGCTGGAAGGAGGGACCCGCCCCCATCCCTACAGGTGACTTTGGGGAGATGGAGACCTTCACAGTACGAGGTCCACCAAACCCACCTCCCAAAGCGAGCACGGCTCTGCAAGGTTGTAGCCAGCTCAGAGGCAGAAACCCCGTGGCCCGTATCCCTAGTGCTGCCCCGACACCGATGCAAAGCAGTGACATTGTCTTCTCACCACAATGCCTGCAAACCGACCTCTCCCCGGCATCCTCCCGCGGCCGCCCCAGACCCTGGCGACCCAGACGCTTCAGAGAGCATCTGCAGACTACAAGTTGCTTCCTCAGCCCGACGAAGGGCATTTGTACCCAAAAGCTTGCTCAGAAGAATTTTTCCAACTATTTGAGTTGGTCTAATAAGAGATCCGATTTACCCAAAGGACTTTGTCTGCCTGAGGTGTCCTCTTCCCCCTCCCCAGCCACATCTGAGCCCAGCTAGGGCTGCCCTTTCACAGCCTGCCGTGTTCCCGTCCCCACCGGGGATCTCGGGAGCAAACCCAAGGAGGCTGCGAGGTTTCTGCAACCGCAGCACATAACTCACCAGCTTGGAGACCGCCCCGTCTCCCCAGACCGCACGCTTGGTTTGTCTGGCCACGTGCCCTACTGGAATACCCCCTTCTCCATCTCTCCAAGGCTCAGTTTAAATGGAAGGGGAAAAAAAAAAATCTCAGAAGCTATCGTGTCAGCTCCAGAGAGAACTAATAGCATTGCTGCTCCTGGCACGGACTCGGATGTCCTACTGAGAGGCAGCCAGCTTATTAGCTATTAGAGGAGGTTTACCACCCGAGAGCAGGGAGAGGGACTGGGTCCCCAAGCGTAGTAGAAGCGATGGGACATTTTGGTGCAAAGCAGTTCGAGCCCACGGGGCAGGACGGGCAGAAGCCTGACCACTGCCCAATCTTTCAGCCAGGTTGTGAAACCTCGGGAAGGGGCACTTGGAGCTGCAGAGGTTTCAACACCAAGGTCCCTGCTGCCTCTTTGAACGAGGCGTAAGGGGCAAAAGGCGCAGGATGTTCAGCCCCAGGGCCTGGCACAGCTCAGACACTGGCATTTCCACCCAGGAGGTCGGCCTCAAAGCTTATTCAAGAAGTGGACCCCTCTGCCGAGGCCACGGCAATACGAATGTTGAAAGTGGGCAGCTCCACGAGCATGCACGGGAGCAGCTACTCCGCCTTGAATTCACACCCCGCCTTATTGCAGATCAATTCCTGTGTCTGGACAAGCCCTCCGAGAGGCAGCACCGTGCCCGCCAGGTGACTCTGGTGGTTTTACAGCCAACATTCGCCTGGCTTTGAAAGCATTTCCTTGTTGCTGTGTGAAGCGCACACACACGGGAACTAACTGGCTACGGGCAGAGGGGACTAGATGCCAGGTGCTATCCAAACGCATGAAGCAAAACTGAAATGCTGAGGGAAACCACCGTCC